ATATATATATATATATATATATATATATATATATATATATATATATATATATATATATATATATATATATATATATATATTGTAATAAAATAAAGTTGTATATATGTTATCAGAATAAAGCTAATATTAAGATTTTGTTTGATGTAAGATTCTTTACAATTTATATCTACAGCATATAGTACAATCTGCAGACATGCTTATTTTATAAATATATAGCTAATTACTGTGAAATGGACACGACAATTTAATTGCTTAGCTTGCTTTTTGCGATATATAGATTGACTACACTATTAATTAAAAAAGTAAGAATGACGGAAAAGGAGCCGCTTTGGGAGTCAATTTGAAAACGACTCTCAGTTTCGTCGTTTGGACTTTTCTGAATTTATATATAGTGCACGGTTTCCATCAATGGTGTCCTTGACAGATATAATTTAGGCTAAGTTGCTTGCGATGTTATTATTATTTAATATTTTATTTTCGTACCCACCTCCATTGCTTTTAATCGTATTTGATAATATTGCAGATTTTATTAAAGTGCCCTTGCATGACTTTCGAACAACATTGCCAGATCTGATTATAGCGATAATGTAAATAGCACCATATTTTTTTAGCATGTGAACCAGTAATATTTGAATGAGAATTTAAATCTAATTTTTTATAGTTACCAAAAATTGCTACAGAGCTTTTACTTGAACTATAGAGGTTTGAATCCACTACAATTACACTGCGTCTGATCAATCTGATCAATATCTATGAAAAATCACACATGAAACTCAATGAAAGTCACTTAATTTAAAGATGATTTCCACTCCGTTCTGCGCATCAGTTCTGCTTATAACAAAGGGGGCCCCGAGATATAAACATAGCCCAAATTTGGCATCTTTCGAACTTGTTTGAATTGAAACGTAGAGTTTGTATTCATTTACAAGCATAGCGAACCAGAAAAGTAGGCCTATTAGACTGATATTCAGTTAGTATATCATATTTTACAAATATAGCAGTTCAAAACGTATATAAACAAAGTTCACGCATGCGCACAGGAGTGGACATCATCTTTAAATTATAACACCTTGAAATTTAGACATATGATTTAAATCAT